CGTATAGAACCGTATGTATCTTCGCCGAAACTTAAATCTTAAACGCGCTAGGCCGTAGAATCGAAACCTTAGTAACATTAGTAACTCTAATAACTTTGGTAACTTTAGTAACTTAATTAAAAAGACTTACTTATACCACTTAGCGCTGGCCTACGCATAGAACTATTATATGTATCCCCGCTAAAACCACCTATGCTACTACTTCGGGCGGGCCTACGCGTATGTCGTAATAAAGAAAGCGAAAGCGGGTTAAGCCGAACTGCAAGATCGCGTAAGAAAAGTGGTTTGTTTAAGGTACGCCGCAATAAAAAAGATGATCTATAAAAGTATTTGCGAAAGGTACGCTGCGTAAAGTAAAGGTGACCAAGCTTCAGTAGTGAATATCGTAAAGAGCGTGGTTTTCGTAAAGAAGCTCGTAAAAAAGAAACTGCAATTAAAGCGCGCCGAGGTCGGCCGCGAGGCTTTTTTGCTAGTAGATCGTGATCGTCATTAGACGGAGGTAAAGGATGTTTTGCTTTGTATGCAAATTTAAAAGCTTTGTTTTTAACTCTATAATTATTGCAAAAAGCGAATATTTTACTTTGACCATAGTCTTGAAATGATGTAATAAGCTGAAAGGTGTTCTTAAGTACACATCGCGTGTGAGTACAGATACGAAAGTCTATATTATGAATTAGTAGAAGTTGCAATAATACTTAAGCAGATGATAAAAGACGAAAAAGTTAAGTACGTACTTAATACGTGCAGATGCTGTAAAGTATTGCGCGTGCTGCCAAGCCACTTATCCCGATTAAGTTTAGCTGTTATATATAAATTAAACGGGCCGACCCGTTCCGAAAAAAGTTTAATAGATTGACATAGAATAAAAGTCTTAGCACGCTCACAAATCTTGCTAGATCCGTATAAAATAGTCTCACGTGACTAGATAACTAACCACCACTACAACTACTAGATGACTAACCACTACTACAACTACTAGATGATTAATCACTACTACAACTACTAGATGACCAACCACCACTACAACTACTAGATGACTTATCACTACCACAACTACTGGAATTTATCTTAGGTCACCGTTGGTGACAATTAGAAATAACTTAGCAACGAATATTGCTATGATATTCAAAACTAGATACATAGATCGGCGTAATCGAGATCTTTAAAAGTCAACCAAGTATAAAATATTTATATTAATAATTTAATAATGAATAGAATAAATAATGTTTGATTGTCGATTGAATTTAATTGAAAATCAAATATTTTGTATTAAAAATTTTATATTTTTGAATATTAATCGTCTTTTGACTTGAGTTTTAATATAAAAATTTGATATTTAAAAAACTCTTAATCAAACGGACTCGTACCATTTGGTTTTTTTATTATAACTTCTATAATTATCATTTTATTTAAGTTACAAATATAATCAAAAAGTTGATGTTCTTGAATTTTCGCTAAATTGTCCGAGCTTTTTTCGCTGTTACAATTGTGATTTTGCGTAATAAATATTATTTTACTTATTTTGATAA